AAAGACTTTTTTTTCAAGCTATAACTATTAAAAATTTGTTTTGACAAAGCAACAACTGCAAACTACCTTGTTTTCCCGAAAATAAGACAGTGTCTTATATTAATTTTTTCTCCCAAAGTTGCACTAGGTCTTATTTTCAGGGGATGTCTTATCTTTCCATGCCCTATGTCTTATTTTCGGAGAATGTCTTATTTTCGGGGAAACACGGTAGGTAAGTAGTATTTTTCTTTTAAGATAAGCATGGAATAAAAATCCTACTACTGTCCGAGCTGGTTTGGCTCAATGGATAGAGCATCAGCCTGCAGACTGAACGGTCCCAGGTTCGATTCCGGCCAAGGGCACATGCCTGGGCTGCAGGCTCCATCCCCAGTGTGGGGCATGAGGGAGATGGCCAATCAGTGATTCTCTCTCATCACTGATGCTTCTATCTCTTTCTCCCTCTCCCTCCTAAAATCAATAAAACATATTTTAAAAAATACTACTACTACCTCTACATTATCAAAAAATATTTAAAATAAACCTGCTATAAATTTAACTTAACACAAAGGTATTTAAATATACTGGACACATTTCACAATTCAAAAAGGCAAGATTAAAATTTAATAGCAGCAAAATTTCTTTTTGAAAGTCCTATCCTATAATTTGTCTAGTAACTAAACAAACAAACACACACACACACACAAAAAAACCAAACCAAGAATAAACAAACAAATAGAAGAATGTGGGAAGTTAGAAACTCCCGCCTACACAATGATACCAGGTAGAAAAGAAGATGCACACACTCAAAGGCTAACGGGCATCGCAAAGCAGGGGGAAGTGCCTGCCAGAAGGGTTCAGTTTACCAGGAATATCCTATATAATCCTACCCTATAGAATAATCCTATATAATAAAAGGCTAATATGCAAATAGGCCGAACGGCAGAATGACCCGTCATTAGGACACTCACTGACCACCAGGGTGTAGACGCTCAATGCAGGAGCTGACCCTGGTGGTCAGTGCGCTCCCACAGGGGGAGTGCAGCTCAGCCAGAAGCCCTGAGCCGGGCTTACTGCTGGCAAACACAGTGCTGGTGCAGGAACCTCGCCCGCCTCCACGGCAGCACTAAGGACATCCGACTGATGACGGGGAGCGGGCCTAAGCCGTCAGTCAGTCATCCCCAAGGGCTCCTGGACTGCAAGAGGGCACAGACCGGGCTGAAGTCCCCCCCCCTCCACTCAAATACACGAATCTCGTGCACTGGGTCTCTAGTCCTGTATAATAAAAGAGGAATATGCTAATTATCCCTTATGTGGTGAGGCATAACGACTGACCGTGTAACAACTGGATCACAGATCTGCAGGAGGTGGGGCAGCAGACTACAAGCGGGCATCATGAGAGGTCCAGGAGGGGGCAGGGAAGCCAGCTATGGGGAGGACCTGCAGGAGGGCGGGGTACTGGGCAGAGAGCTACAGGAGGGTGGCAGCAACCTATTGTACAGATTTGTGCGCGGGGCTACTAGTAGATATATGAAACATCTGGAAAAAGTAGACTGAACTTGAACTTTCTAATTATGCGAGGTTTAATGACATCAAACTATGATTTGCAATTCATGAGGAAAAAATCAAAACCTTACATTATTTTACTACTAAAGAAATACTAATCAAATAGAACATATACTGTTTACAAACATCAGCCTCATGCAGTGCTTGGCAATACAATGATCATTATATCTTCCTACTCAAAGTGAGTTCCAATGTAAAATGAGTCAAAAAATTTTGAGGATAAAATGATCTGGTTCAGTGTTATTTTAAAAGCTCAAATAGCAGAATTAAGGTTCTCTAAAATCAGAACAACTTTAGTGTTATTGCTAAACACTTTAGATAGATGTTAATGAGATAAGACAGAGTACTTACTATTTAAATAGAAACACCTGGTGTGTTCATGCGCCAGGAAAAATAACCCAAATCTCACCTGCTCTGCACAATCAGAGACTTTCCCCCAAGCAGATCTGACACCCCCATCCCAGCACTGCAACCACGCCCCAAATCACGAGAGACTCCTGTCCTGGGTCTGCAGGCCCTTTGACACTCCAGCTGAAGGCAACAGTCAGGATGAATTTACCACACTGTAAACGCACTTCCCTAAGGGGCTGTTTATAAGCATTAGGTTCCCCTCCGTGGCCAAATCAGCATCAATAAGGCCAATATTGACAAGTCTGTGCCACGTGTCCCGGTCATGCGCTCTGCCTGCAGCTTTCTCATTTCCAGAGGCGCCATTTCTACACAGGAGAAACGTGTCCCATTCACCTGTATGTCCCCTGACCTGGAGCTTGGCACTCAAAAGCTCGCTAAATAAATTCAATCTCTGCAAAAACAAAACCCAGCGTGGTTTTCCCTTTACTACCAGCAATCCCTTCACATTCTGAGCTGCTTTCCTCAGTCTCCTTGGCCTTCCTGATGCTGGACGTCAGGATAAAACCCAAGCTCCTCCCTGACCGGGACCCTCCCGCACTGCAGCTTCTTCCCAGGCCTCCTGCCACCTTCCCCACCCTCCAGGCACCACCACCGGCCCCTCCTTTCCGTAATCACCAACGACTCAACCAACCCTTTACGACTCAGGCCAAATGTCACCTCCTGAGACACTTCCAAATGCTCTGATAAAATAAGGCGCTCTCCACTGGGCTCCCAAGGTATTTTGCTTCTTCTTCTTCTTCTTCTTCAAGGTATTTTGCTTCTTCTTCTTCTTCTTCTTCTTCTTCTTCTTTTTTTTTTTTTAAAAGTATTTTATTGATTTTTTTACAGGGAGGAAGAGATAGAGATAGAGAGCCTGAAACGTCAATGAGAGAGAAACATTGACCAGCTGCCTTCTGCACACCCCCTACCGGGGATGTGCCCGCAACCAAGGTACATGCCCTTGACCGGAATCGAACCCGGGACCTTTCAGGCCGCAGACCGACGCTCTACCGCTGAGCCAAACCGGTTTCGGCGAATTTTGCTTCTAAATCTACTCATTATAAATGCCTGCACGGCGTTTATCGCAGGAACTTAGCTCCTTAAGCATCTATTCTTCCTTCAGATCAGGCTTGTGTCAGCAGTGAGATCCTTCTTTTGGGTCCGGGGGCCCGGCATCTGGATCCACTGCCCCGCGTTTGTTTGCAGGGGAAGAGGTTCGGGGAAGGGGTTCGGGGAAGGGGTGCGGGGAAGGGGCGCGGGGAAGGGGCGCGGGAGCGAGGCAGCAGCGGCGGGAGCGCACGGGAAGGCTGGCCCAGACCACCTCTTATTCCCAACTCATCGGTCTAACGGGGCCGGGCCGCCAGAATTAGGGAGCCAAACGTGACCCACCAACCAGCAGGGACACCCGCACAGCCTTAGGGTCATGTCCGTTCTGGGTAAGGTGACCAGGCGTCCCGCTTCTCAACAATCTGTCCCGCGGCGTTTTTAAAAAAAGCCCCGATGTTTTTAAAACGCCGCGGGACAGATTGGACTGTCCCCCCAAAAGCGGGACGTCTGGTCACCTTAATTTTGGGATAACTATCTTTTCGTTCAAGTAACAGCAACTTTCTGAAGTTGTACGTCCAGCTGCCACACAATGAGCTGATTGCCCTCTGTATCTGGAAAAGGCGGCACCCAATAAACGTCTTATTTCACCGAAACGGTTTAATCTCCACGAAAACCCAACGGGGCGGCATCGTCAGCTTCCATTTAGACCCGGAGGGAACCGAGGCTGCCACGGCGGCTGCGTCCGGGGTTACTAAGTCGGAGCTGCTGTGCGCACCGGGCAACCGTAACCGGCTCCGCCGCCCCGCCGCCCCGCCGCCCCGCCCGCCCGCCGGCTACCTGGAGCACACAGCGGGACTGCAGCAGGCAGGCGCCCAGGTCCTCCTTCACGCCCGCGCACGCGCCGCCCTCCGGCTTGTCCTCGTAATACCGGGGCATCGCCGCGCCCGCCGCCCGCCGCGGCCGCGCTACTTCCGGCCACAACGGCAGCGGCCCGGCTGCCCACCTGCGACGTCCCCTGTGGAAGGCACCGGAAACCGGCAGCATCAACTTCCGGCGAGCCGCGGCGGCTACGACTCCCGGAGGCCGCGCGCGCCGGAAGTAGGCTCACGTCACGTGGCGCGCCGGGGGTCCGCGTACGTCGCGAGAAGGGAAGTAGGTCCTGCGGCGGCGCGGCTGGGCTCGGCGGCTCGGGGAGGTGGCGGGCGGGGGTTTGCCGCCGGTGGAGGCCGCCGCGGGGCGCCCGGTGAGTCCGGAGGGGCGCTCCGTGCGACGCGGGCCCGCCGGTGCCCTGTCCTCTGTCCGCTGCGGCGTGACGTCCCCGGGCTTCGGAGTGACACCGGGCCGCTGCTGGGCCGGCGGCGGGGGGCGGGATAAAACCGAGGAACTCCGCTCCAGTTGAAGTTCAGATAAACGGCGAATGATGTTTGCTGTGAGCTGTCCCGGGCAGCTTCGGACGTGCTTATACTCAGAGGCACTGCCGTGTCGGATTCCTGTAGGAGAGGGCGGTTTGTTTGTTACCCCGGGACCCCGCCCTCGGCGGCCGGCCCGGAGGCTGGGGAGGGGGCTGGCGGGCGCCGGGCGGGGGCCGGACCGGGCTGCGCCCACCTGGCTGCAGGGTGGCTCGCCGGGTCTCCCACGGGTCTCCCGATGAACTATTCGTGGAGCAGAACATGGGTTTTAGTGTGGGTTTATTTTTGTCACCTTCTGGAGACCTGGCAGTGCTTTGATGGACCGACCACCTGTGTGACTAGGTCATTTCCTTAGAGGCGGGTACTTAGGAGCACGGGATTGAGAGCCAGACTATTTGATCTCTCTCTCATGGTCTGAGATGGACATAGGGCCCCTCTGGTGTTCCTATGATGGTTCAGAATGGTGCGGCGTTTGGCCACTATGACAGCCGACCTTTCTCAAGGAATGGGGCAGACATGTCAGGTGGCCTCCCTCCTCTGTGTCTCAGAAAGGAGCCCTAGTAGCCGACACTTCCTTCACGTTACTAGCAGAGGTTTCTGCCCCGCAGGAAGATGTTACCGAGCACTGCGGTGAGCTCCCCGCTGCAGGGGAACGGAGCGCTGAATTCCAGGGATGCGGCGAGACACACGGCGGGGGCGAAGCGCTACAAATACCTGAGACGGCTTTTTCGCTTCCGGCAAATGGACTTTGAGTTTGCGGCCTGGCAGATGCTCTACCTGTTCACCTCCCCGCAGAGGGTGTACAGGAACTTTCACTATCGGAAGCAGACGAAGGATCAGTGGGCTAGAGATGACCCCGCTTTCTTGGTGCTGTTAAGTGTCTGGCTCGGTGGTAAGTGCTCGCTGATCTGCACAACAGCTGAAAAACAAACTGAGCGTTTGATTGGACTTGTCACTTGGGGACTCTTGTTATAAATTATTGTGGGTCAGAAATGGGGTTTATTTAAAGCTGCTGCCTCTTTCCTGAAGCCTCACAAATCCCACAGGAAAGAAGGCTGTGTTGCCAGAGTAAATCGTTACCTGGGGATGTGAAAAAGCAGAGGAATAAAGACACTTCATGCCTTTTAACTACTGTGATAAATACATCCGTCCCCAAGTGCAAACTGACTGAAAAAAGCCATGTCAGGGTTGTAAATTGCTGTTCACCACCCGGGAAGTACAGAGGGAGACTTGTAAAAATACTGATGTGAACTTGAGAAACTACTTCTAGTGTAGGGAAAGTTTTCAGGGTGTTGAACTGTGTAGATTTTTCTCACCTTTAAACGGGACCACCCTGGTGAACCACAGACAGACAAGGTCCTTCTTGGTAAACAAAGTATCTCAATGGCCCTTCCGTGTCCCAAGTCGGCCTGCATTTCTTAATCACACAGAACACATCTTGGGGGTTCGGTTTACATGTCTCCCCTGCTGGACCGAGGGCATCTGGAGGTGCAGGGACTGTCCAGTATCCCCGGAACCTTGCAAAGTGCCTGAATGAACCTTGTAAATCTCTCTTTCAGTGTCCACTGTGGGATTTGGCTTTGTGCTGGACATGGGATTTTTGAAGATGATAAAGCTGCTCCTTTGGGTTGTGTTCATAGATTGTGTGGGCGTTGGTCTTCTCATCTCAACTCTAATGTGGTAAGTCCGTGCCTTTGATTCTTCAGGTGCTGCTCTAGGGCTTCCTTTAGGGCTTGCTTCAAGGCACAGCAGCCAGTGGAAACTGAACAAGGTAGGTGAACAGAGAGCATCCGGTTTGACTACTAAGATTGGTGTGACTTGCCTCTTGTATCTGCCTGTATCAGAAAGTACTCTAAGTATGTCAAAGTGCATGCAGCAAATAAGTGATTTGATGATTATATCATACTGAAAAAAATTCCTGACTTTGTAAAAATATTATGCAGTTAGCCAAAAGTGGTTTGGATGATGGCTTGTTTTTCTGCATCATTTGTCAGTGGGTCACCATTAAATGTATAAGATCTAGAAGGTTATGTTTCTTTGAGTTTTTCATATTAAATGTAGCACACCTGAAAAAAAATGATTTTTTTCTCATTAAATTTTGGTTCCTTCCTGCTGAGGGAGAAACAAATTTTATTCAAAAGGCTCTCAATCTGACTTGATCTGGGTTTAGTTTAACAAGTGTACAGAATGTAAATGAGGTGTTTGGTTTTCAGTGTCCTCACAGATACAGACAGGGCTCTTCTGTGAAGGGAATGGGTGTGTGGCTGAACTTGTTGTTGTGGGTCAGAACTGGGGTTTATTTAGAGGCCTGTGGTTGGTAGGGCGGGCGGTCAGTGTATGTCAGAGAAACCAGTGTGGAGCATTTTAGTCACGGACAGATCTGGGTTCAAATGCCACTAAGTCATTTACTGTGTAACTCTTAGTCCCAGATTTCTCCTTTGTAAATGGAATTATCTGTTTTGTAAGGTATTTGAGAAGATTGTGATAGGAAAGCACCTGGCATGTAGTAAGTGCTCAATAAATGGTAGTTATCAATACTCTCAAAAATTCTGAATCTGTAAAACCTGTGAAGATACCAGCCTATTATTTTCCTTTATAACTTATAAAGACTAGTACAGTAGAGATTTTGTATGTGCTAGATAGTCAATAAAGTCTGGACTAAAAGTATTGCTGCTAATGTAAGCCACATATTTATTGTCAAAATATCCATGGGGAATATAGCAAATGGAAAAATGAAATTTATTTATTTTATAAATAAATATGGCTCTCAGAGGAAATAGTTTGTAGCAAGCATTTCTGCAATTCTGCATGAATGTACAGACTGGAGGGCCACCGAAACCAAGTCATCCTGGAGTTTAGTACCTTTGGTGTGATACTTAGTACCATATCTTGTGAATGGTGTGAGGAGCTAAAACTAAGAAATGAGAATTGAGGTCATCCCACAGGCTCCACAGTAACCAGCACGAGGAAGTGTTTTGGGGGTGACGGGATCAACGATTTCTAGTACCAACTGGAAAAACAGAAATGTGGACAGCATACTAGGTCTGAGAGTATGGGGTAATACTGAATGACTAATGAAAATTTGTCATCTGCAAACAATGACAGATTATTAACTTCCATTGTGAATTACTTCTTCCTTTACTATTTGGATGCCTTTTATTTCTTGTTTGATTGCTGTGACTAGGACTTGCAGTACCTGCTGAATATAAATGGTGAAAGTGGACATCCCTGTCTTGTTCATGATATTGAGAAAATATTTTTAATTTTTGCCCAGTTAGTATGATGTTAGTGTGATTTGTCATATATAGCCTTTATTATATTAGGGTATGTTCCACTTTGCTGAGAGATTTTATCATAAATCGATGCTAGATTTTATCAAATGCTTTTTCTGAATTTATTGATACAAGCATGTGATTTTTATCCTTTGTTTTGTTTATGTGGTGCATCATGTTAACTGATTTGTGGATATTGAACTAGCCTTCTATCTAGAGATTAAATAAATCCTAGTTGGTCCTGGTGTATATGATCTTTTTAATATATTGTTGAATTTGGTTTGCTAATATTGATTTTTGTATTTATGTTCATCGAGGATATTGGCTTATAATTTTTGTTTTTTGTAATGTCTTTCTCTAGTTTGAGTATCAAGATAATGCTAGCTTTTAAAATGAGTTTAGGAGCCTTTCTCTTCAATTTCTTAGAATAATTTGAGAAGGATAGATATTGAATGATTGCTGAAATTCACCTGTGAAGCCACCTAGTTCCGTGCTTTTGTTTGTTGGGAGTTTTTTTTTTTTTTTTTAATACTGATTCAATTTTGTTAATAGTTATTGGTTTATTCACATTTTCTGGTTCTTCTTGACATATTTTTGGAAGATTGTTTCTAAGACTTTAACCATTTCTTGCAGGTTGTCCAATTTGTTGGCATATAATTGTGGTATTTCCTTATAATCCTTTGTATTTCTGTGATGTTGGGTGTCACTTCTCCTTCATTTATAATTTTATTTGGGTTGTCTTTTTAAATTAAATTTATTGGGATGACATTACTTAATAAGATTACATAATTTTCAAGTACATCTGTGATACATGATTTATATATTGCATGTGTGTCCACCACCCAAAGTCATCTATCTTCTGTCATCACATACTTGGCCCACTTTACCCTTCCTGTTTCCCACTCCCCTTCCTTCTGGTAACCGCCATACTGTTGTCTGTGTCTATGAGTTTTCGTTTGTTTTTCTTGTTTGTTCATTTGTTACTTTCAGCTTTATATCCCACATATGAGTGAACTTTTTCTGACTGGCTTATTTCACTTAGCATGATATTCCCAAGATCCATCCACGTTGCAAATGGCACTGCTTCATCTTTCTTAGGGCTTAGTAGTATTCTATTGTATATATGTAAAACATCTCATCTAAGAACACTTTAGTTGTTTCCATGTCTTGGCCAGTGAACATAGGGGTGCGTGTATCTTCACAAAGAAATGTTTTCAAATTTTTCCCAGGTAGATACCCAGGAGAGGGGTTGCTACATCATATGGTAACTCTATTCTTAATTTTTTGAGGAATCACCATACTATTTTATTCTTTCTTTAAAAAATTTTTTTTTCATATATATTGTTGAAAGTATTACATTTGTCCTCTCTTCCCCCATTGATCCCTTCTAGCCTGCCCCTGCACCTCGTCCCAGGCCTTTACCAACCGGTTGTCTTATTTCCATGGGTTATGCATATATGCATACAAGTTATTTCAGTGATCGCTTCCCACCCACCCACCTTTCCCTGCCTTCCCTCTGAGATTCCATAATCCATTTCATGCTTTCATGTTTTTGGATCCACTCAGTTCATCAGTTCATCAGTTTATTTTGTTCATCAGATCCCACACATGAGTGCGATCATTTGATACTTGTCTTTCTCTGGCTGATTTATTTCACTTAGCATAATATTCTCTAGGTCCCTCCATGCTGTCCCACAGAGTAAGAGATTCTTCTTTTTTACTGCTGCAGAGTATTCCATGGCATAAATGTACTGCAGCTTGTTTATCCACTCATCTACTGATGGGCAGTTGGGCTGTTTCCAGATCTTAGCTATGGTAAATTGTGCTGCTATGAACATAGGGTTGCCTACATTCTTTCTGTTTGGTGTCTCAGGCTTATTCTATCTAATCCTATCTAATAAGGGAGGAATATGCTAATTAATTATCACTCCATCACAAAGATGGCTGCACCCATAGCTGAAGTTCCTGTAAGGAGCCTTAAGGAGCAATCAGCAGGGACTTGAGGTTAGGCCCTCCCCCACCCCTGTGGGGCTTGACAGAGGACCTCAGGCCCATCCCCGCCCCAGCACCAGGCCAGGGGACCTGAGGCTACGCTTCCCTGCCTGGCGGGGCTTGACAGTGAACCTCAGGCTGTGCTCCCCACCCAACAGGGCTTGACGGGGGACCTCAAAGTACACCCCCAGTGCTGGGTCAGGGGAATTCATACCGTACTCCCCCCATCCAGCATGGCTTGACAGAGACCTTAGGCTGCACCCCTTTCCGGTGCCAGGCTGGGGTACCTGAGACTGTGCCTCCCTGCCTGGCGGGCTTGACAGGGAGACCAGAGGCTATGTCCCCCACCTGGCAGGGCTTGATGGGGGACTAAAGGCATGCCCCTTGCCCTGTCTGGGGGACCTTAGGCCATGCTGCCCATCCTGGCACTGGGCCAGGGAACCTGAGACCACATCCCCTGCCCAATGGGGCTTGACTGGCTGGGTCTAGATCTAGCCCAAACGTGGGTGGGCGGCCAGGTCTGGGTCTCACGCGATTTTGAGGCACATGTGGATGGACAGGGACTTGACTCTGGGCTCTCCTTTTAATGTGCATAAATTTCATGCACCAGGCCACTATTTAAGATATATTCCTAGAAGTGGAACAATGGGTCAAATGGCAGTTCCATGTTTTATTTTTTGAGGAAACTTCATCCTGTTTTCCACAGTGGTTAACACTGGTCTGCATTCCCACCAGCAGTCTGCTAGGGTTCCCTTTTCTCTCCAGCCTCTCCAGCGCTTTTATTTGTTGATTTGTTGATGGTAGCCATTCTGACAGGTGTGAGAATGGTACCTTATTGTCATTTTGATTTGCATCTCTCGGATGATTAATGATTTTGAGCATCTATACTAATAAGAGCGCAATATTCAAATCGACTGAACAGCCACACAGTGGGATGACTGTCCGATGACCTTTCCTATGAAGCGGGGCTGTGAAGGCCTACTCCTGCACGAATTCTGTGGATCAGGCTCCTAGTTTTTCAGGTCTCTTGGCCATCCTCATGTCCTCTTTGGAGAAGGGTCTGTTTAGATCCTTTGCCCATTTTTTAATTGGATTGTCTTCCTTTTGTTAAGTTGTATGAGTTCCCTATATTTTTTTTTTATATTAACTCTTTATCAGATGTATCTTTCTCAAATATGTTCTCCCATACAGTGGGTTCTTTTTATTTTGTTGATGGTTTCTTTTGCTGTGCAGAAGCTTCTTTTTTAGATGTAGTCCCATTTGTTTATTTTTTCTTTAGTTTCCTTTGTGTTAGGAGATGTATCTGTAAGCATATAGCTACCAGAGATGTCTGAGATTTTGCTGCCCATGGTTTCTTGTAGGATTTTTATAGTTTCACAACTTATATTTAAGCCTTCTATCCATTTTGAGTTTATTCTTGTGTATGGTGTAGGTTGGCGGTCTTGTTTCCTTCCTTTCTTCCTTCCTTCCTTCCTTCCTTCCTTCCTTCCTTCCTTCCTTCCTTCCTTCCTTCCTTCCTTCCTTCCTCTTCTTCTTCTTCTTCTTCCTCCTTTCTTCTTCTTCTTCTTTCTTCTTCTTTCTTCTTCTTCTTCTTTTTCTTCTTCTTTTTTTTGCATCAGTCCTATTTTCCCAGCACCATTTATTGAAGAGACTCTCTTGACTCCATTGTATGCTGTTGCCTCTTTTGTCAAATAATAATTGAGCATAATTGCTTGAGTCAATTTCCGGGATCTCTGTTCTGTTCCATTGATCTATATGCCTGTTATTCTGCCAATACTATGATATTTGATTACGGTAGCTTTGTAGTATAACTTGAAATCTGGTATTGTGATTCCTCCAATTTTGTTTTTCTTTTTTTTTTTTAAATATATTTTATTGATTTTGTAGAGAGAGGAAGGGAGAGGGATAGAGAGCTAGAAACATCGATGAGAGAGTGTCATTGATCAGCTGCCTCTTGCACACCCCCTACTGGGGATATGCCCGCAACCAAGGTACATGCCTTGACCGGAATCGAACCACTGTTTACCTCTCTCACAGTAGCCTCTCAACTGGTGTCTGCACTTCCATTCTTGTCCCTGTAATCTGTTTTCAGAGTTGTGGCTAGAGGAACCTGATCAAAACAGTGTCTCTCTGCTGGGAAATAGTGATCTCTCCTTTCACCCAGAGTGAAGTGGTCTTAAAATGGCCCGGGGCTCTAAGGTCTGGGTCCCCATTTCTTTTCTGGTTTCATTTCCTGCACAGTGGTCTCCTCAGACACACCAAGCACCTGCCACATCCTCTGTGCTCCACCATCGCCTCCACCCTGTGGTGGCCTTCGCCTGCCTGAGGTGCTCTGTCCAGGTAATTCTCATCTCTGCCTGGGTCGTCGCCTGTATGTTTTGTGACCATCATATCTAACATTGCATATCAACTCTGTATTCTCTGTCATTCCCTTCCTTCCTCTTTCCTCTTCCCTCCCTCCCTGAGGACATGTTTTCACTGATTTTTAAAGAGAGGAACGGAGAGAAACTTTGATCATTTGCCTCCTGTATGCACCCCGACTAGGGATAGAACCTGCAACTTTCTGTTGTACGAGGCAATGCTGCAGCCAGTTCAGTACCCAGCAGGGTTACTGTTTCATTCCATGGTACCATCCAAGATACACTTACATTCTATTGTGGTCTACTCCCACTAGATTGAGGGCAGAGTTTTTGAATTATGTTTACTGCTGTATTTCTAGTGTATGAAATAATGCTGGTACATAAAAGCTAGTCAGTAAACATAGAATTTTTATTGTATTATGAAAGAAATTTTAATCTTGCTCTTTAGGTTTATCTCTAACAAGTATTTGGTGAAACGGCAGAGCAGAGACTACGATGTGGAGTGGGGCTACGCCTTTGATGTGCATCTGAATGCTTTTTATCCTCTCCTAGTCATTCTGCACTTCATCCAGCTGTTCTTCATCAACCGTAAGTAGCAGTTACTTCTCAAAATGGTTTGTAAAAGACCTCATAGTGTGCAATGAAAAGAGTCATTGTATCTCTTTGGCAGATGTCATCTTAACAGACACATTTATTGGATATTTGGTTGGAAATACTTTCTGGTTGATTGCTATTGGCTATTACATCTACATAACCTTCCTGGGATACAGTGGTAAGTAACTCATTTTTTTGGTTGACTGAAAACATACAGAGGGGGAATCTGTAAGAGTAATACAATTAGCTTACTTTTATGGAGCCTTTGTAGGCACTGTCTCAAGAATGTTATATGAATTATGTCACTTAATCTTCATCATTATACAATAATAGAGGCCTGATGCACAATATTTGTGCAAGGAACTCGGCCCAGCTGCGGAAGTTTACCTCGACCCTCCCAGCCCCGGTTCGTCCTGTAGGTCGGCCAGAAGGACGTCCAGTCTAATTAGCATATTATGCTTTTATTATTATAGGTTTCCGTAGCCCCATTTTTCAAATGAGGAAACAAAGCACAGATTAAGTTAACATGTCACACATCTCAAAAGTGGCATAGTTGGTGTGTAATTTTATCATTTCAAGGAACCATGTCAAACCATATTGGTTTCTCCACGTTACCTAGAGCAACCCACGCCGTTTCCTTTTTCTCCAGGCTTTCCGGTTTGAGTTACCATTGGTAGATTAGAGAGGAAAAGGTTGGTCAGATGAATGGGCATATGAACTTGAGTGCCTCGTTCTCCATTTTTATAATCATTACTAGAGGCCCAATGCACGCAATTCTTGCAAAGAGTAGGCCTTCACAGCTGCCTCAGTCCCTCCCTCACAGCCAGGGTGGCTGCCTGGATCCCGCAGCTGCAGCCCCAGCTTTGTCTGGAAGGTTGTCTGGAAGGTCGTCCAGCTGTTCAGTCTAATTAGCATATTATGCTTTCATTATTATAGATATGGTCTCTAGATGATTCCAGAAAATAAGGCTCAACTTCTGACACATGGATATGTTTGCAAATATTGTTAAATCCTATCAGTTCATTTTTCTTAATATGAGGAAATATTTATGTTGGTCTTCCTTTAAGATATGATCTCCATTAAAGAGCCAAATACCTCAAATTATAATACCTTGAGGTAATGGTAATCCTTTCTCCAGTTCAGGGAGAGGCCTGTCTTATTGTGATTAGCATGCTGCAACATTGTGGCTTGTAACTGGATTTAAAAATACTAATAAAAGGGTAATATGAAAATTAAACATCACATCATCACAAAGATGGCAGTGTCCATAGCAGCCAGGGGGCTGGATGCTGGCAGTGTCACCCTGTCCACCAGCCCCAGCTTCCCATGTGCCCTGGCCCGCGGGGGTTGGGGGGGTGAGTGGGTGGGTCTCTGGCCAGAGGCCTACTGGGGCACAGGATGCTGGCATCATTGCAGGTCAGGTTGAGGGCTCCCCGCCCCTCCTCACCGCCCCACCCTGTGCACAAATTTTGTGCTGCACTGGGCCTCTAGCATATATATATATTGATTTCAGAGAGGAGAGGGAAAAACATCAATGGAGAGAGAATCATTGATTGGCTGCCTCATGAACACCCCACTAGAGATGGAAGCCACAACTGGGCATGTGCCCTGACCAGGAATAGAATGTGACCTCCTGGTTCATAGGCTGCCGCCCAACCACTGAGCCAGGCCAGCTGGGCTCTAGTTTAGAACAGCTTCCTTAGCTCAGGTCAGTTCCAGTGTGGGGCTTCCTGTGTGAGGTGTGTAGGTGAGGATGCATGGGGCAGGGAGAGCAAGAAACATGGATGTTGGGCACAGACTTGATGTTTGCTTCTTCAGCTCCTTCCTAAGGCTTGGTGTGCTAGTGGAGACCGCACCTTCTCAGTGGAAGAGTAACACTCTTACCTTGGAAAATAAAATAGCTGGAGGTTGTGTTTTTCCTATCATATCTCTCTCTGGTACTTTAAGATGAACTCTTAGAGGTTTCTGAAGTTGTCAGAAGTTTAAACTCACCATCAATTTCATTAATATTTGTGATGTTTATCCTGCATTCTCAATCTGTCTTAGTCCTGGACTTGCCTCTCGCTCAGCCTTTGTGCTAAAGTAACTCCTCTTCTCAGTTTCTTCCCAGCGTGAGGAAGGAGGCAACACAGAACACAGCAAGATCTAGGATGGTTCTGGCTTCGTAGCTTCATGCTGCCTGAAATGAGTGTCCCTCTTTGGCCCAGGTTGTAGTGAAGAGCTGTCTGCCAGAATGTTCATTTATTAATCACATTTCCTTATTTTAAAAATGAATTTGGATTTGCTTCTTTTCCAGCATTGCCATTTTTGAAAAATACAGTAATTCTCCTCTACCCATTTGCACCTCTCGTTCTGCTCTACGGGCTGTCACTAGCACTAGGATGGAACTTCACCCACACACTGTGTTCCTTCTACAAGTACAGAGTGAAGTGAAAAAAGTGAGACTGTACATCTTAACTGTGTCAACAGTATTGGTGAAGTGATTTCTTATGAAACTTGTAAATAAACTCTTATTGTAGATATCTTGGTGTAAAGTTTGTGAATTGGAGGAAATATATGTTAACACTATTGCATACATTCCTTAAAACGAATTAAATGTACATTTCTATAATAAATATTTTTAAACTAAAGCACGTGTGTTTTTTATTCTAATAGTTGCACATGAAATTATATACAAAGTATTAAAGGCATGAGGAAATTAGGTAAAACTTTTCAGTGTGACTCCTTCTTGAAAGAGCCTCTTTTTGAAGAACAGAATAACATGCTCCCCTTCCCCCTGTTCAAGGTACTAACTCAGCCTCCACATACTTTACTGGCTGTACTACATGTATTGGCTGTAATACTCCGTGGGCTGCGTTTTAAACATGTATGCAGGGCAGGGTGTATGATCTTAGTCTAACCTTCAGGCCCTAAATATCTTTAAGAGCATTTTCTCCGCTAAAAACACACACACTTCTGGAGGGAGGCCCTGGTGGCCGCCCTTCACTGCAGCTGTTAGAGCACACAGTGCGTGCGTGAGTGTCTGCATCACACAGAACCACCACCGTCTTCCAAGATTTTCTAAAACCCAGAGAGGATCCACTGCTGTCTTCTAATTATATCAGTGTTACAACCAATAAAAGTTGCTTCATGAAGTCTTCCTTTTTTTTTATTAGGGGAATCTTGGGTTCAGCATGGATTTTTAAACATCTTTATTTCAAACACACATGATCGGTGTGGCAAAACAGGGATGAAAGGCACAGTCAACAGGACCAGTTATTAAGTTATAGCAGCAAATTTGAAAATAATCTTCCTTTGAAAATTTAACAGGTACCTAAAATATAACTACAGGTATTACCCATTCAACCAATGATGACAGTGTAAGGAATATGTACAACACATTAAGGAGAATACAACTTGGGAAACCAGTTCCTCAGGCAGCTTCTCCAAGGGGAACTTTCAGAAACATCCCGGATGCGAACACCTTTCCCAGTTGTGTTCTCGGTGAGAAAACACTTCGTTTCTCATTCCATAATGAAGCATGATTATGTTTAATCAGCTGACTTCTAAACCTCCTAAAAAACACTACTGTCTATACTTAAATGAAGAGTATCAAATCTGCTGGCAGTGCATCTTACAGTACTGGCGATATCACCATTTTTAAGGCTCAGAAAATGTATTCAAAAGATGTTTTCATCCCATGTCAGCAAACACTGAGCATTACAAATAAATTGTGAAATGCTAATCACACGAGTACCGAACCTCTGATTCCAGGGCAGTTTGCTAGCTACTAAATCAGGAAGTGCTAGCAGCAAGGGACACGTGCTTCCTGACATCTGAGGACTCCCCACAACAAACAGCCTAATTACACACAGACTACATTTTTACTGCGACAGGAACAACACTGGGAATAGCACAAAGTACAATTCATTCAACACACAGTTTATTTTCCTGAATGGTGTCTCATAAATTCTGAACTCACACTGGGGAGTGCCAGGTTCTTACCCACCCGTTTGAAAATGACCTAGTTTGTGTCCACACTGGCGAGGGGACTGGTTCCAGTGAGAAGGGTTTATATTAGAGATGGATGTTACAGACACAGTAACAAATCCTCTTTTTTGAAAAATATACAGTGGAAAAGAGTCTTATCAGTATGGTATATCCACATGCATTAAAGAAACATGCTAAGATTAATTAAAATTTACAACAAACTAACTTCTACACTATAGACTGCTACATAGTTTGGAAAAGTTTTCTATAAAAGAAAGAGATGTGATATGTAAGTTCCCTCAAAACACTAAGATATGTTTATGACCCCAATTTCTGACCTCTGACAGTGTTTGCCTCTCATTTTTTTCCTGTTTATTTTACTTACATCAAAGGTAAGTATAGCATTATACTAAAAATAAGCACAAAAATTAATGGACAAACAAAAATAAAAAACTTCACTAGCAATTAACAGCTTGGAAGTAGAGATATTTTGGAACATATCTGCCAAGTACAAAAATTTGGCACTATAGGATTTGATCTGTGCTTAGACAGTAAGTTTTGGTTTAAAAAAAAAAAAAAAGTACTTCAATACAAAGTAGATTGATCATATGCTCTCTACATTAAGACAGAAGGATTTTTTTCCTCCTAATTTAGTATCTTATTTAAAATACTACTGTTCATTATTCTTAAATAATACACTGACAGGCTCAGCAGAGTAAATCGGCATAAGGTAATTCTTTTTCTGGGAGAAAGATTCCTTATACACTATTGGATTCCTTCGACTCCTAGCAGTTCCTTTAGAAAGCACTACTAAGATGCTATTTTTGTCAACCAATTTCCAGTGAAGACAGAGCTCTGGCCTAGAAATCCCAGATGAGGCCCAGGAGTAGGATTTGCCAAGAACCACCACTATACTAGAGGGAGTCTGCATGAAGATTTTCCCTCTTCACCTTTTACTCATTGCTACCTAACACATCACCACAGACTGAGAAACTCATTTCGTATCTCAGAAGCCCAGGCTGGACTGAGTGCTCAGCTCAGGGTCTCGGGCTGGAGTCCAGGTCCTCTCTGCTGGAGGACCCACCTGCCCACGTGGTCCGGCTGCTGGCCGTGCCCACTCCCTGGGCTATGCCGGTCCCTTCCCTCGGCTGCCAGCCGAGGCCTCTCAGCTTAAGGCCACGTGCTTTTCTTAGGTGGCTTCCATCTTAAACCAGCAGATGATGCCTCCTCCTGTTTGGAATCTCTGACTTCATTAGCCTGAGAAAACTCTGCTTACGGAGTTCACGTGATAAATAATGTGATTAACAATGACACCTGATTATTGAATGGTGCAACCATTGCTTTGAAAAGCCACACCTTTGTTCAAAGACATCTCTAATGGCTGAGTTAATGTACATGTTCTTGTCTGTAACAGACGTGTCTGTGTGCTAAATAACCCACTGCATTCTCTTTTGCCAAAGCTTTTCAATTTCATGGCTTCACACCATTGCTCTTTTTGTCCACAGAGTATGGTACAGGACATGCTGTAAAGAACACTGAGGAGGAGGACAAAGAACACAGGAATCTTGGCTCTCAGAATGCTAGAAATAGGTCCTCGACCCCTAACCCACAATAATCATTTGCACTATGATATATTCTGCATGTCTACTTTTAACCTGATTAACAAAACTCATTATTCTGGTTTCTACATGTTCCTATAGTGAGCTCAACTCAGTGCTGGGCAACAGGTTTCTGCAGGGCAGGAAATGTCCGGTGCCCGTGCTGCCCCACGGGGCCACCTGCCACAGGTGGCTCCTGAGCCGGCACTGGAGCCAGGTGAGGGGGGAGCGAATGGTTTATGGTTTAAGGAACCACCACGTGTCTAGTGGCCATTACTTAGGACAGCACAGCTCTGGAGTGTGACTGGTTATGTGAAATACACACCAGATGCCAAATCTACGCCTTATTTATTTATAGAAGTACTCTTCCCCCCACTCACTAAAAGTGGTTCCCTGTCCTCTCAAGGTCAATAATTTACTTTCAGTTCCAGGACTTTTCACCTCTGATCTGTCCCAATCCCTCACTCATTAACACAACTCTTAGGACTCCACTATCATTTCCTGCTTGAGGATAGCATGGCTGCTGTGTCTGGTGTAGAGCTCGGGGAAAGGAGAGCAACTAAAAATGAGACCAGGCGCAGCCGGCATGGCTAAGTGGCTGAGTGTTGACCTATGAACCAGAAGGTCACGGTTCAATTCTGGTCAGGGCACATGACCGCGTTGTGGGCTCGATCCCCAGTGTGGGGCTTGCAGGAAGCAGCTGATCAATGATTTTCATCACTGATGTTTCTTTCTCCTTCCCTATCCCTCTTCCTTCCTATCTGAAATCAATAAAAACAAAAATGAGCCTAGGAGCACCTGCTCCCACAGAGCACGTGTAACAAGTACGAGATTCAGGACTGCCCTCAGGAGCTTGAATTTGGTCAGAGAAGCACATGCACACACATATACATGCCCCATAAACAATCCAAACCTCCAGAGCTGAGCGAGCATGTAAATGTGTGGCAAGGACAGTAGGTGCAGGGAGTTGAGAAGGAAGGGGCTGAAACAGCTGGTCCCTCATCCAGACGCTGCCTGCGCACCTGCTGACTCAGGGAGGGGCGCCAGAGAGGCCTGGGAAGACGGACAGGATTTGCCTGGAAGTATTCTGAGGAGCTAGTCCTGGAGGACAGTGAGCAGGAAAAGGCTCCGCCTGAAGGCTGAGACGTCTGCCTAGGGCCCGGGTAACCGGAAGTGCCCCCTCGGGACCTCCAGAGGCTTTTCCCTGCGATCGGAGTTGGCTCCTTGGGAAGCGGGGAACGAGGGTACTTCCAACCGCCCCTCTACATGTTCACCTCTGGTAATCTGCTCAGCAGTCATTAAGTATGGTTGGTAAGCTAGTGCCAAATTTTATAATGAAATATTATTTTCAAATGAAATCTGCCTGTAAGAGGTCAATAGTAAGATTTTTTAAATGTAAGACACAAAAAAAAATGTTAACTGTAGTTTGACATAAAAATCATTGGCAACATGTGACTTTTAAATAAAGAAAAGTGAACATGATCCAAATGCGGAGCAATGGACACTACTCACCAGCGCCTCCCAAGCTCTGCCACCTCAGAATGCAGGCCCCCTGGGGCCGGGCGCCAGCGCCTCTTTTGAGAGCTCGGAGCCATCCCCCCCAGCCGTCACCTGTTGGGAACTGATGTTGATAATTCAGAAAATCTTAAAAATAAAAAACCCTTGTAAAGACCACTGATTGCTAAGGCTGGTAAAATTTTTGTTATAGTATGTTTCATAATTTGGAACTGCATGTTTAAGAATAATACGCTTTAGATATGAATTTACTTGTAAGTTCTAATACAATAGGAAAAATCATTTTGGAAAAACATACAACTGTTACAATATCTTTCATCAAAAACCAATATCACAATTTCAGTTTTCTTTAATATTAAACCAGTTATGACACACAATAGCATTATCTAGAAAACATTTTGTCAAAACTCATGAGTGCATGTATATAAGGATCAACAAGAAAAGAGAGAATGCATCTACCTCACAGAATAAAGACAAAATCAAAGGAGCCTGTCACCTTACACGTCAGAGGGAATGGAATGAGTGAAATCCATGGTGATTTGGGTTGAAGGCATCATCCCTGCACATTGAAACTTATCAGACTGATTTTCTGTGGCTACACACCATACACATATAGTAAAACAAGCCTCAAAAAGGACATTGGTTTAAAAATCTTGGCTTTAAAGAATGACTAATGCCTTTGAAAATATTTTACTCAAGATCAGCAATTACAGTAGTCCCCTCCTTATCCACAGGGGATATGTCCCAAGACCCCCAATGGGTGTCTGAAGCCACGGCTAGTACCAAACCCTATATATATATATGTATGTATGTATGTTATGTTTTTTCCTGTACATCCATACCTATGATAAAATTTATAAATTAGGCACAGGAGGAGGCTAAAAATAACTAATAAAAGAACAATCCTAACGATAGACTGTAATGAGAGTTGTGTGCCTGTGGTCCGTCTCAGTGTCCTATTTGCTGTGCTCACCCTCCTCCTTGTGATGCAAGATGACACAATGCCGGTGTGACAGCATGAGGCGAGGTGCCGAACGGACAGAGGGTGAGCCCCGTCCCAGGTGGGCCGGAGGGGCCAGGGTGAGGTTGCATCACCCCCTCAGAACGGCGCACAATTTAACACGTATGGATTATTTATTTCCGGAACTTTTCATTTAATATTTCTGGACCACAGCTGACTATGGGAACTGAAACCGTGGAAAGCCAAACTGCAGGTAAAGGGGGGGGGGGGGGGGGGTGCTACTGTCAAAAAGTACTTCTGTTAGGAAATCAGCCTAGAGTCACTCTGAAATGGCAGTGAATTTGGAAAATGGCATTAACGTATGTTTGCATTTCCAAAGGAAAATACAGAAAGAACTTAAAAAGGCAAAGTAATTGTATTTCAAAAAAAGTATTGATTCAAAAATTTACTGCACAAAAATATGTACTTAAATTGTTTCTAATAAATTAACTCCATAACATTTTATGTATATTTATATATTTATATATAATCCCTGATAATCTATAAAAGAGGGTTTATAATAGTAAAATAAATGAATCTCAAAAGTACCCCCTTCATAAAATGTATTTAACATTTTTTCTCAAATTTAAGGAATGTAACAATATGTACAACTCTTATGTATTAGTATAATACCTAAGTAGTACAAGTCATATTAACAGGCTGTCGTAACTGGAAAATGTTTGAGTTGAGTTAAAATTGGAGGACAGCTTAGGTTTGAAGGAATATATCATCCGTGGAAGAGTCACTTTCCAAGTGGAAATGACAAGCGTCTACAGTAGGTTCACAAGAGGTAGTGTTCAGTAAAAAAAGTACATGTTTCACTATCTTTAATCAACAAACGTACAGAAAAACGTATTGGTCTCTCAGGAGATGCTCAGGTGGCGACTTTTTTAATGTGAATCTGAAATACAAAATTGTGAAGAGTGCGATGAGGCAATTAATTTTCATTTCCAAAAAGGCCTTAAATATTAAATCAAAATGTTAAAAAAAAAAAATGTAGACTAAGCTATTTCACTGATGTATACTGTCTTACCTCATTGAGAATGGCCCAAACAGCAGAATTCTGAATAACGGAAAGTCGGAAGGCTGCAATGGGGTTCAGGCTGGGATCCACCATCCCTTCTGCAACACCGTTCTCAAATTTCCCTTCAAAATAAAAATCAACACCGTTGGTAGGCTGGAACGGCACTCCTCACCCTTCCCTGATAAATCAGGAAGAGACGTCAGTTTCCTTATCATTAAACCTGCAGCAGAAGGGTTTCTAGTGGAAGTCCCCACACAGGGCACGGGTGCATTCTTTCCCCTTCTTCCTATTTTTATTCAACTTCAAAATGTTTCATGTGTAGAAGCAATCCATCTCAGGAGGCAGAGCTACATTTTTTCTTATTGTAAATTAAAAACAAAACAAAAATATACTTTGGCATTGTGTTTTAACGCAGGTTTTTAGCAAAATGTGACTTACTCAAACCTTACCAAAATAGACTGCCATCCCTTGGTCTAGCCACTTTGAGAGTTATGGCACTAACAACAAATTCCAGAGCTTCAAACAGACATCCACACAGTGGCTGGCCTTCATCAGGGGCTCAATCTATATGGATTCTTCCCTAGGTCACATATAAAGGAATTAAAAAGTAATACCTTCTCTAGAAATTACAATATAAAACCATTAAAGATAATAAACTAGAAAAGCTCTCCCATAAGAATAAGGACCGAGGGATCCTAAGATGGCTGTGCCCAGGTAAACACCTGGCCGCAGCCGCACACAATTTCAATAAAATACAACTAAAATACAGAATGGACATTACCCAGAAATGGACATTACAGGAAAGTCGACTGACTGGAAATTCTACAACGAGAAGCAAGGAGAAAACCAGAAGGAAGTGCGGAGGAGCTAGAAAAGCCTAAGGTACGGAGACACGCGGGGCACGGAGAGGACGGAGCCGGAGAGGAGGGAGGCCGAGTGCCTGGCGGGCGTTCCCTAGCGGGAAGGAGATAAAAGCTCCTGTGCTGGGCCCCATTCTGACTGCTCTGAACCCCAGTTCTAGGCCAGATCCCTGAGACCCAGGCTCATCCATAGGGAGCGGGGCTGTAAGGCAGAACCCCGGGGGAGCGGCGAAAGGAGGTCCCTGAGGCGCGCACACTGCACGCAGAGAAGGGACGGCCGGCTGTGCCACGGGATTGCCTGGCAGGAAGGAGACTGGGGCTCCGGACTGCTCTGAACGCCACCTCCAACCTCACTTCCAACTGAACTGAACCCCAATACCGGGCTCATTGGGGGAGAGCCTAGACTGTTTGGCAGCAGGCGAAAATCGAGGGCACCTTTCTCTCAGAGGCCCTTGCAGTGAGTACTGAAGGACCCCGAGACTCAGGAGCTGCATAGGGCAGGGCTGACAGAAGCCAAGGCTGTAGGCTCCACCCTGAAACCCCGCCCCATCTGTAGCTGGGAAATGCGACAACGAAATAGATCACAAATGAAAGAAATGGAGGACAAAAAGCAACTGGATGTAGAGTTCAAATCTATGCTTATAAGGTTTTTCAAGAATTTCCTAGAAAAGATGGATAAGACCTATGAGGATATGAAAAGAGATCAACTAGAATTAATAAGGAGTCACCAAGAAATGATAAGGGATCAACAAGAAATGATAAGGGATCAACAAGAAATAAAGAATACAAGGAGGATCCAAGATGGCTGCTCAGGTAGACACCTAACCGCAGCAGCACACAACAATTTCAATGGAATACAACTAAAATGTAGAGTGGACATTGCCCAGAGCTACAGGTAGTCGACTGACTGAAAATTCTACAACAAGAAGGAAAGAGAAAACCAGAAGGAAAATCAGAGGAGCTGTAAAAGCCTAAGGTACGGAGACATGCTGCGTGCCCACCCGCACGCGCGCACGGAGAGGTCGCAGCCGGAGAGGAGGAGAGGGCGGGGTGCTTCCTGCCTAGCAGGAAGGAAATAAAACCCCCAGCCTGGGCTGAACCCCCGAACCGGCAGCGCTGAGCCCCAGTTATGGGCCAGACCCTGGGGACCCAGGCTTGGGCAGGGGGAGACGGTGCTGTGAGGCGGAATCTCAGGGGAGCGGCGAAAAGCAGGGCCCCCGGAGTCGCGCAAATTGCTCACAGAGGACGGAATGTTGACTCTGATGCTGGATTGCCCTAGCGGGAAGAAACAAAGCCTCTGGCGGTGCTGAGCCCCACTCCAGACCGCCCCGAACCCCAGTTCTGGGCCAATCCCCAAGCAGAGGGAGATGGGGCTGTGAGGTGGAGTCCTGTGGGAGCAGCGAAAGACCGAGCCCCCGGAGTCGCGCACATTGTGCTCAAGGGAAGGAATGTTGACTCTGATGCGGGATTGCACTGGAGGGAAGGAAACAGGAGCCCTGGCCAGCTCAGGCAGGGGGAGACGGGGCTGTGTGGCGGAATCCCAGGGGAGCGGAGAAAAGCGGAGCCCCTGGAGTCGCGCACATTGCCCGCAGAGGACAGAATGTTGACTCTGATGCTGTAAGGCCCTGGCGGGAAGAAACAAAATTTCCGGTGGTGCTGAGCCCCACTCCCCACTGCCCTGAACTCTAGCTCTAGGCCAATCCCTGGGGACCCAGGCTCAAGCAGAGGGAGACGGGGCTGTGAGGTGGAGTCCTGGGGGAGCGGCGAAAAGCGGAGCCCCCGGAGTTGCGCACATTGCGCGCAGAGGACAGTCTGTTGACTCTGATGCTAGACTCCCCTAGCGGGAAGGAGAAAAAAAGCTCCGGGCTGGGGGAACGAGACGAGGAGAAGCCCCTGCCGGACACCGGCCAGCCAGGCGCCAGCAAGGAACCGGGCGACTGGGCCCCTAGGGGGAGGGGTGCTCTCGAGCCTTCGACCGCTGAGCGTGTGCGATGGAGCTGAGGCGGGGGGGCTGCTTCCTGGGCGGCGCCGTCCCCGGCAACAGGCTGAAACAGCGCAGGAGCCCGCTGAGAACAAAGGGGTGCCACAGGCCAACCTGCTGAGCTTCTAGAACAAGGAGGAAGAAACCAAAGAAGTTCTCAATGTGAAGAAATCAAGGGAGAGCAAAAGATAGTAAAATTACTTAAGAAAGAATACAAAGAAGTTCTTGAAAAATCAAAGACTAAGTCAGAACTCAACTCACCAGCCAACATTGCAACATAAATGCGTTTTTAAAATAAATTTTAAAAAAAAGGACAGAATGTTGGAACGGCGGCGGCCAGGCCTAGAGTGGCCAGGCACAAGGCAGTGGCTGCCGGGCCTGGAACAGCAACAGCCAGGCCCCAGAGCAGCAGCAGCCAGAACCAGAGCAGCAACAGCCAGGCCTGGAGCAGCCAGACCTGGGGCAGTGGCAGCCAGGCCTGAGAAAGAGGTGACCAAGCCCAGGGTGGCCAGTCCAGGAACACCCAGACCCATAGTGGCCGGGCCCAGAGCAGCCGGGTTGGAAGCAGCCATACCCAGAACAGCAGTAGCCAAGCCCGGAGCATTCAGGCTGGGAGCGGCCAGGCTGGGAGCGGCCAGGCCCGGGGCAGCCGGGCCCAGAGCAGCCGGGTCGGGTGCGGCCAGGCCTGAAGCAGCGGCTGCCAGGCTGGGCGCAGAAAGGCGCGGAGCAGCCGGGTCGGGTGCGGCCAGGCCCGGAGCAGCTGGGTCTGGTGCAGCCAGGCCCGGAGCAGCAGCTGCCAGGCTGGGAGCGGCCAGGCCCGGGGGAGCAGCCGGGTCGGGTGCGGCCAGGCCCGGAGCAGTGGCTGCCAGGCTGGGAGCGGCCCAGCCCGGAGCAGCCGGGCCCGGAGCAGCCAGGCCCAGAGCAGCCGGGTCGGGTGCGGCCAGGCCTGGAGCAGCAGCAGCCAAGCCCGGAGCAACCAGGTCAGGAGCGGCAGTGACCAGACCCGGAGACGCTGGTTGTGGAACGGACCAGAGCAACAGAGGCCAGGCCCCGAGCAGCCAGGCCCGGAACAGCTCGCTCCTCACCTACCCCCGCCCCAAGGCTGCCTCTCAGAGATGGCTGGAAACTTTTGCGGGAACTTGAGAGTCTGCTGAATCAAGTCATGAAGGCTTAGATCTGGATGTGTTGAGTTAGTATAGCGTTGGGGTGTTGATCTGTGAGTGCCTTGTACGAGGCCTGGATGAGGTTGGTTGACCTATTTGGAAATGTCTTTTTGTGTGAAGTATATCTTTCGGCATGTGGAGGTAGTATTGATATGAGAAAATGCTAAGTAACTGATTTACTATCTGAAAAGGGATTTACTCTTGGGGAAAGGGAGGGAGGAAGAGACTGAACATAAACTGTGCACCTATGGATGAGGACAATGGGGAAGGGGAAGGGGGCAGAGGGTGGGGTGGGAACCTGGTGGAGGGGGGAAGAAATGAGGAACCTTTGTAATAATATGAACAATAAAGATTGATTTAAAAAAAAAAGAAATAAAGAATACATTGTCTGAAGTAAAATATATTATACAGAGTCCTAAAAACAGAATGGACGATCGCAAGAATCAAGTAAAAGATTTGGAACATAAAGAGCCAGAAGACACTCCTTCACAGAAGCTAGAAGGCAAGAGAATCCAGAAAATTGAAGATAATGTAAGAAACCTCTGGGACAACTTCAAGCGAACCAACATCAGAATTATGGGGGTCCCAGAAGATGAGAGAGAGCAAGATATCGAAAACATACTGAAAGAAATAGTAACAGAAAACTTCCCCCACCTGGGGAAAGAATTAGACTTACAAGTCCAGGAAGCGCACAGAACTCCAAACAAAAGGAATCCAAAGAGGACCACACCAAGACACATCATAATTAAAATTCCAAGAGCAAAAGACAAAGAGAGAATATTAAAAGCAGCAAGAGCAAAGCAGGTAGTTACCTATAAAGGAGCACCTATATGATTGTCAGCAGACTTCTCAACAGAAACCATGCAGGCCAGACGGGAATGGCAAGAAATATTCAAGGAGATGAATAGTAAGAACCTACAGCCAAAGATAACCTATCCAGCAAAGCTATCACTCAGAATAAAAGGTCAGATAAAGAGCTTCACTAATAAAAAAAAGCTAAAGGAGTTCATCAACACCAAACCAGAATTATATGAATTGCTGAAGGAGGTTCTTTCGGAAGAGAAAGTAAATAAAGGTAAGAATTATGAACAACAAATACGTAACTATCAACAAGTGAA